TCCTCCACCATCAGATTGAAAGAACTGAACATGAGCTTGATAGTGATTCACAATATACGCATAGAACTTGCAAAATACTGAGAAAACATCTGATTTATTTAATAAGAGAAACACCCACATGAACCTGGTACAATCATCAATGAAGGTAAGGTAATATCTATTGCCTCCTAAAGCAATACAAGCAGAAGGCCCCCAGGCATCGGAGTGCAGCTTAGAAAAGGGTTTGGAAGAAATGGTAGAAGAAGAAGGAAAATGTAATTTATGCATTTTTCCTTGTAAACATGATTCACAAAGGGCATATGTAGGATCTGGAGTAACAGAAATGTGAGAAGTCTTGAGCATGTGTTGAAGCACTTCATTGGTGACATGGCCCAGTCGGAGATGCCACAGTTTAGTCTTTACCTGATGACCAAGCAAAGCATGAGAACTTGATGATATGATAGAATTCTTGATTTGCGAACTGGAGCAAACTGATGAGGTTGTAACACTTGCGGAAGAATCATACTCTTTATTTGAGACAAATGGAGAGGCCTTGATCCCAGGGGAAAGAAACTGAGGAATGGAATAGAGACCTTTATTACTTTGACCCTGAAATAGAAGGGTGTTGGTTTGTTTGTCCTGCACAAATATGTGATGCTCATAAAAAATAACCCTGCAATTGTTATCGCGACAGAGTTGATAGACAGAGAGTAGATTTGCTGCAAGTTTAGGGACATGATATATAGTATTTAAATGTAGGGTGCCTGGTAAAGCAGTTAAAGTAGAGGAACCAATATGATTGATGCCCAGACCTTCTCCATTCCCCACAGTAATCTTGTCATCATAATGATAAGGAGCAGATTATGAACATTGGGAGTCATATGATGAGATGCTCCACTGTCAACTATCCACAGATCATTTGGAGTAAATGAGGGAGAGATATTGGCAGTCATGGCTTGCAGAGATTATAGAGGAGGAGTGCCTTTGGTAGGCAAAATTGGACCTGTGGTAATAGTTCAATACGATGTGACCCTTCTTTCCACATATCTGACATTCAAGTACAGGAGAAGAAGAACTCTCTGGAATTCGATAATATCAGTTTGGAGCTGTATGACCTCTCTTGTTACATATTTGGCATTCCGGGATGGGCTGATTCTGATTCCTGGAGTTTGAAGAAAACCTTGGTGAAAAACCGCCTCGATTATTAGAAGAAAACCGACCACTTGGACCCCGTCCTCTAGGAGTGAAGGCAGAAGAGGACCCAGAGGAGTGAAAAGACTTATGTGACGAAGATGATGGCACATTAAGCAGTGGTGCAGAAGTCTTGAAACCATTAAGCCCCGTACCAGAAGAATAAGAGGACTATGGATGAGCAGTTAGTGTCCCAACAATAGAAGCAGTAAGCTGATGCTGAGCAGGAGCTTGAGCATGAGACGATGAACCATATTCAACACTGAGCAAACCAGTCATATTATGATGCATAGCAGTTATGCGTGACTCAATATTCTTCTCGACAGTTAAGAGATATGCTCGGAAGTCCTTAAGTGATATTGGTGTGTCACGAGCCACCAAGACAGTCTTAATGATGTCAAACTCAGGTGGTAGACCATTTAAGGCTGCAATGATTATATCATCATCAGAGAGCTTGATACTTGCTGTAGAGAGTTGGTCTCGAATATGCTTCAGCCTAAGTAAAAATTTATCTATAGAATCCCCTCCTTTGTGAATGGTATAGAACTCTGTTTTAAGTTGATTGATGCGAGCTCTTGAGACAGAGGCATATCGATCAATGAGACTCAACCAAGCTTCTCGTGCAGATTTACACCCAACCACATATTCAATGGCATCATCTGATAGCGTAGCAATGAGTAGGCTAAGCAAAGCCTTATCCAGTTGAAGCCAATGTCGATAGTCCTCAGAAATCTCAGTAGTTACTCCCTCAGATTCAGTAACAACATATTTAGGTGGACACACAGAGGTGCCATCAAAGTGACCATATAGATCATAGCCTTGAAGGACAGATTGCAATTGATAATTCCATTTCACAAAATTATCATCATTGAGTCGAATAGTAATGACTCCTAAGAGACCGTCAATTTTTGGAACAGAAAAAGTCATATTTGCCTTGTGCTTCAACAATTGTGTGGCAAAGAAATCTCAGATAAGTGCTTCAAAGAAATCTCAGATAAGTGCTTCGTGCTTCAAAGAAATCTTAGAGACATGCTTCGTGCTTCAAGAATTTAGAGAAGTATGTTGTGTGCTTCAAGAAATCATAGACAACATAATTGAATAAGATCCCGAATCGAGTCAAGAAGAGGAATATCAGGCATACCAGAGGTGAATTCATCACCGAGTCAAGAAGA